AGAAGTAAAAAAAAAAAAAAAAAAAAAAAAAAAAAGAGAGAGAGAAACAGAATTTTATAAATTTGCATCAAAATAGGTATTACAACTAACCCAGTCTGGACAATTTTTTACCTCCTTTGCAATCATGCCAAAGGCCTGAATATATTGCTCGGCAATTCTTAAACTTGCTGCCTGCAAATCCAAGAAAGATCATTTGTCCTCCACAATTACTTCCAGAGAGTCGAGATATGTTTCCTGAACTAGGCATAATTTTCTGTTATCTTATCACGATTACTCCTCAAATATATTTTATAGGAGCTAAATGCAAATCTTTGTTTAACCTGTCCTGTTAGTAGGAACAGGGAGGTGTATTGAAATCTAAAAAATAGAAATAAATCCAACTTTTAGAAGAAAATGGAAAAAGATGCATTGAATGCTTCAATTAAAGAGAAGATGAAGAGAGAATGAACTTCACCTCCGTGCCTCCACTTTCTTCGAGTGCTTTTGATACCATTGCAATTCCTTTAGCAGTTGCTTGTGCTCTAGCAAGTATGGCTTCTGCTTCACCTGTAGTAGAAGAAATTCAAGCAAAAGTCCAATTCTTAGATTTTTTTAGAAGAAAAGGTAACAGGAAATTTGAAAGGGAAAAAAAAAAAGGATAAAAGAAAACAGCAACAATATACTATCATACACAAACTAATCATGAATAAACTTAGAATGTAAATGCCCACTGATACAGATTTAGCTTACTTACCTTGTTCAATTTTTCGGAGATCAATGAACCGTTTAAGATTACACCATTAACAATCAATGCAAACATGACAACTAACCTAGAGCCCTGTTGACCTGGTCTTCCTTTGAGGCTTCTGATGCAAGGATCACCGCATTTTTCTTACCGTCCGCAATATTAATATTTGCCTGCCTTTCGCCTGCATATGGCCTTCAATTAGTCATTAAAAAACATAAGCAAGGAATATGCAGTGCTATGGATTTCCTAAGATCAGTTGTAAGAACATATTCATCCATGTCTACAAATTCATTCCTCTTAAGCCTTATCCACAATGGAAACACCGGGACATAATAATAGGTGGTTAAAGAATTGCAAGAGAATTGATCTATCACCATAGTAATGTCCAGAATGCATGGAAAATTGATTGCGTAATAGAAGAAATATGAACATCAGTCAGCCTGAAGATCCTCTTGATGCATTGTAACTGTTGCTGGCTCAAACGCTACTTACACTATGCATGCAGCAATTCGGAAACACACAGAATAAAAACTTTAAATGCCGGTATGCAATTAGAACATTTGAGAAAGATCCATGTAATTTCTAAAAGGTGAAATGTGAAAAGAACAAAAAAAAAATATATAAAAAAAAAAATATAAGAATTTTCCAAGGTCATGGTAGTGAGGATTACCACTCTCTCTCTTTCTCCTAAAATAATGCAAATTCATTTTCCTTAATCAATGCATGAAATCTGTTCTTAAAACAAATAACAACAACAACAACAACAACAACAACAACAACAACAACAACAACAACAACAACAACAAAGCCTTTAGTCCCAAGCAAATAAGTAATAAGAAATAATTAAAAGAAAAATGAGTTTCATCCTCAATTTATCATATTTTCCATCAGAATGCCTCCAATAGTTTTTAATCAAAACAACTGCATATCAAACACCTAGCATCCACGGTCATACTAAAGCAACAGCAGACAGCAGGAGACAAACCAAATACCTTCAGATTCCAGAACTTGAGCCCTCTTTTTGCGCTCTGCTTCTGCTTGCATCTCCATGGCAGCCCTCACTCCTCTCGGAGGAGATATATCCCCTAATTTAGTGAAGAGACTCGCAGGATAAACAAGATGCACCAGAAAATACGATTGCATTTGTAAGACCAGGCCAACAAACTATTAGCTTGAAAAAAGTTACCCACTTATTTCATAACGAAGGCATTGTAAACCCCAGTCTTTTGCTGCTTCATTGATGGCAATCTGCACCAAGGTTAAAAAAAGGTCGGTTCAAACTTCAAACCTATAAAACAATTTAACCTAACTGAATGCTATTTGGTATGCAGATACTGACTGGTGCAGATTTACATATCAAGCAGAAATCACAAACAATTATGAATAACAACAAGATACATTATTTGCGGATAGACAAAGGAGCATAATAACATAAATATATTGTAAGTGTATGTGTGGGTGTAAAAATCTTTATGCGTGAAAATATCGCTATGTTCTAATAAACTAGTTTTAAACACATATACCAACTTTCCAAGAGTAATATTGTTAATTTTGTATCTAAGATAATCATAACATTTTGCGGCGCCCACAAAGAATAAAGAAACCAACCGCTGACTACAAGTACTTCTAATTTCTTTATGTAGCAAAGCTCAAACTAAGGTGGAGGGAATTGCTCACTCAAAAATTACTAAAAAATCAACATAGTAAGTGGAATGTCTACTTACCACAATCTTCTCATTGAGTGTGTCCCTTTCCTCAAAAGTCTTGTCAAGAGTGATCTTACCTAGCTCACTTCGCATAGTAGTCTGCGCAAGCTGAATCACGGCATACAATGGATTCTCAACTCCATACGATGCCAATTTCGGGTCCACTATCTGCAGATCCATGAGAAAATGATACATCAAATATCTGAGGAGTTCATTCATACAAAGCGGTCATCTCAAACCTATACTGTCTCCATACATGCCTTGACATATAGAACCCCGTCGATTAAAATGCTGACATTGTCCTTAGTAATAGCAGACTGGTCGGGAATTGGAATTGCCTCTTCTTTCAGTGAGTGCACATAAGCAATTCTATCGACAAACGGAATCAGTAAGTGGATTCCAGGAGTCAATGTCTTTACATACTTTCCAAATCTCTCAACAACGTATGCCTTCTTCTCAGGTACAATTCGTATCCCCCAGTTTATTGGTGGTGGATTGTCATACCTATCCAAAAGTAACAGTATATCAGGCTAATCAAAAATTGAAAAATGTATTTGAGCATTATTGATTAATTGGTTATTGGACTGCTCAAACTTTATAGCCACTTCAATCTATTCATGAAATCCACAATTTCTTATACGCTTTTGATTTTTTTTAGCTCAATTCGAGCAGTATTAGCATAATCTCTAAACGTTTAGAGATATTTATTACACATAAATGGATAGAAAACAACAAGCAAAAACACAGAAGTATCTACTAAAATTTTCTAATTTACCAAGCAACCAACTACATAAACCATTGAAAAATCATATAAACTGACTCGGAAATATAACAATGAAAGAAATACAGAAAAACGAGCAGGATAACTAAAGAGACAAAAAAAACGGCATTACAGAAATTTAGTAGCAGCTTCTGGAATGGATGATACGAAAAAATGCACAAAAACCAAACAAAATGCAGTAAAATAATTCGAGGAACTGAAAAAATATGACATAAATCCACAAAACATACAGAAATGCCACACGCAGTACCTAGTGCTGGGGTCACGCGAGGTGCGTATGTGACGAACGGTGGTGAAGTACGGGGACGGCAGCTGAGAAAGCGAGCTACGAGCGGACGGCTGATTGAGCAGCGGTGGAGATGCGGTGGAGATATTGCGAGAGGCGATTGAGGATTGAGCGGCGAGGAGATTTCCGGCGGCCCGAAGCTTGTAGACATAATTGGATTTGACGAAGTTCATTTTCTCCTCCTCTCGATAATTTGCACCGAATTTTGAGGGAAAAACGAAGAGTGGTTTTAGTGCAAGACGATTGAGGAATCTATTGAGAAGAAAAAATGTTTGAAAAATTATTTCATTTTACCGCTCAAATCACTTTTTTTCCTCTAATATTTTGTTTGAAATTTTTTTGAAAGTTTGAATTTTTTTCATTTCGAAATTCAGTATGTTTTGGATGAGTTCAATATGTTTTGAATGAGATTCCTTCCATATTGGATAAATTCAAGTTCCTTTTCATTTAGAAAATATATTTTTATTTTAGCAATATATTTGACTTCTTTTTTTTTAACCGATTATGTTGGTCTTCTATTTAAAATTGATTTTTTTTTTAATTAAAGAATGTACCAGTTTCCTAAACATGATAAAAACATATCACTTCAAATATCTTTTTAAAATTGAGGATTCCAACTACTATTATTAATGTGATTAGTACTAACTAATTTTGTTAAATAATATCTTCATTGATTCACCCCAACACGTTTGATAGGTCGGTTCATGAGTCAGTTATGATGCATAAAATCACACAATAGTGACTATTTAATATAAAACTATTTAGAATATAACAATTAAAAAATTGAGGATTCCATATAATGTAGGCTCAAAAGCTACGAATTGATTTATTCCAAAAATTGAGGATTTCATATACTACAAATTGATTTATTCTACAAATAATTCACAACTTTACGGTTTAAATAATACAATATGTACATCATTTCCCTTAAATATTTGATCAACCAACACGATTTTGATGATAATTTTTCAAATTGATCTGTATTCCTTTTGAATATCAGAAAGATTATTGAACAAATATTAGTTAATAAAATTTAAAAATTATAATTTAATTTTAGAGAATTAGTTGATAAATTTGAACAATAAGGTAACCGAAAAAAAATCTAAAAAATTGAGAGATAATATATATAAAGAATTTATTGTGTAGTCTAAATTTGGTTTCCAAATTTAAAAGTCAAATAAGGTATTCTTAATAACTTAAGGGTTAGTATTAACTTGGACGTAAATAGAATAATCAATTATTTATAGTTTAATAAATTATTCAACTACTTAATTTTTTTATTTAGATAGTTTATACAAAAATAAATTCAATTTAATTAATTAAATAATATAGTTTTATAACTGTACTTATTATTCACATAGATTTTTAAATATTCATAACATTTTATCAACATTATTATTTTATGGAATTACATTGTAGTTAAATTGAATTTCTGAATGAAAATTTTAAAATGACACTTAATTTGAAATTATATTGTAATTTATTATTAGTTACGTTCACCGTAGGGGTTGTGTACTAATTTTAAATAGACATGTTTTTTATAATTTTGCACAATTTAAATTTCATATAACATTTTCAATAAATTTAATATAGGTGAATTGTATTACAATTGATTCCATATTTTTAAGTTATAAATATTATTTAATGTGTATTTTTAATTTATAAATATTAATAAATATCTCCTACCCCTGCATAGCACATGATTCGTATTAGTTAAAGAAAATAGAACCAAAATAAATAAATATTTAATTATTTATATAAGAACTAGAAAGGTGTTACTATTTATATAAGAACTAGAAAGGTGTTACTATATGGTATCTAATCTCCCTAATAAATATCTCCTACCCGTGCATAGCACGGGATTCGTACTAGTTTTGAGCATATAGTAGTAATATTTTGCAAAAGCCCTCGTAAAACCCAAAATATTGAATTAAAGGGCCAAATTACAACAATTTATGGGAATTTGGATATAAATATTTCACTTTGATTTATTTGTATATATCCTTTTTGTTAGAATTACGACTACGATTTAATATACATATATAGGGAATGGTTCAGATGCGCCCCGTTTTTACGACTACGATTTAATATACATATGTAGGACTAACATAGTTCTGCCAAGTTTGACAAGGAATTCCTTCAATATCCTTTACACGAGGAAATTACAAATTTCGTCCCATAGAATTGGGCCCGTTGCAAATTAGTCCTACTCGATGAAAATTCAGTCTTTAATTTTTTTTCGTTGTGAAAGTAATCCCAAGGTCATCAACATTAACGGAGGTGTCACATGCGAGTCACGTGGTCGTTAGTCGTTAGGTTGAGAAATGTGGAAATTGCAAATTTAGTTCCATAAGGTTGACCGTATTGCAAATTTAGTCCCAAATATTGAAAAACATGATTTTTTACTATTTTTTTGCAATTTTTTGTCGAGAGTATCTAACAATCTTTGATAGTAAAAAAAAAAAAAAATTATTATACAATGTTTTCTATATTTCAAATTAATTCAATTATAAATATATTTAAAAAATAATTATTTAATTTTATCATAAATATAGAACTGTAGAGGTTAATAAAGTTTTAAAAAAATAAATAAATAAAAATAATATCAACTACTATAATTTGAAAACATGGCCAAACTGATTGTTGAATTAAGAATCGGTCAACCAAACGGTTAGATTCCTTTTAACGAATTGGTTTCCAATGAATCAGTCAAAATTGGTGGATCAGACTGATTAATTATAGATTTTTTAATAAGTTAATAAATATAAATTCAAATATATTTAAATTTATATTATTATTATTATATTTAAAAATTAAATGGTAGTGAAAATTGTTGAAAGAAAGTTTTTTTGGTCTAAGTTGATAAAATGATAATGAACATTGTTAAAATATAATTGAACATTTCGATCAGTCAACTCTGACCGATTAATTGGAAACCAGTTCGTTCAAAGGAATCCAACCATTTAGTTGACTGATTCAGTTATGTGGTTCTAAACACATAATAATGATGTATTCAAAATACATAAGTCAAGTAAATTCATTGATCAAAATAATGTGCTAAAATATTCATCAAAATTTTTACAATTTTGAATTGTTAGACAAGCTCGAAGCTTCGTTTTCCATAAATTTATTAAAATTCTAAATATATATTGTTTTCATATTACTAATTACATAAGTACATGTCATAATAAACAAAATTGATATAACATAATTGTATAATTCATTACATTTTATAACTTTACTAGTATTCGACCTTGTGCATTTGCACAGATGTAAATAAAATTAAATATTATAAGTTATATTTATGTATATAATATAAAAATTATAAGTTGAATAATTGTATTATATTTCAAACATATAGTATTATAAGTTATATTTATGTATATAATATTAAAATTAAAATTATATAATATTATTATATTTTAAAATTTGATCATTGGTTAAAATAAATAGTACACACGATTTGATTTTATACGAATCACTATATTGATTGCATAAAATGTAATAAATATATACTTTTTATAATTTTGAGTGATCATGACCAATTAATTAGCTGAAAAATATTACATTTATTATAACAATTGCTTATGTGATTTTAAGAAATTTTACTATGACATAAAAAAAATTAATTTATTAATAAACAACCGCTTCATCATATAAAAAAATATTGATTTTAGTGTAAAATATAATTTTATGTAACTTTCATATATTATTTAGTATAAAATATAGTTACTAATTTTAATATTAACTATTATATTATTCAATAAAAAATATAATTATTAATCAATTAACATAAAATATAATGGTTTTTGTCTTAAATAACCCAAAAAAATGTAATGAAATATTTTCTTATTAATGAGATTGGGTGTATTAATGCCACATAAATAAAATTTATTAGGTTTTATTAATGATTTGCCACATAGGTAAAATTTATTAGGTTTTATTTATTAGGTAAAATTTATTGCTTAGCTAGCAATTATATATATATATAGATATCGAGTATATGGATCAATTATCATTACTAGAATCATTGTTATATAAAATGTAATTAATAATTGTGAGAAACTTTTATAACATTTTATTTATTTTTGGTATATCTTGTTTTATATAATATATCATAATAAACTATTTTTATGATGGAAATTGATATGATTCATTTTATTTTATATACAATGATTTTAGTAATGATAATTGATCCATATGCTCGATATAAAGTTTTATCAGTTGTCAACTCACAATTTCAAATTCAACTATTCTTTTTTTTTTTATTTGTAATATCAAAATAGAAAACCAAACCTTATTGCACAATAATTATCCTCAATTAATTTTTATTTTCATATAATATTTTAGTATACGAAATTTGTATTATTTTCCGACCGCTTGCAATGGCAAAAATACTACTCAAGTGGAAAGACAATGTGTGTAGTACTATATATTACAACCCAACGTGAATGCCGTTCGAAAGTCCATCTTCAACAACCTGAATTTCGACGAAAAACAATTGTATCACCCCGTTCCAAGAAAAACCATCATTTGACCCGATATAAACCAAGGCAAAAAAGAATGAACAAATAAATACGCCCGAGACCTGCTGTTTTCACTCCGGTTCACTATTGCCGTAGGAAAACACAAATAAATACACCCACAACCAACTGCACCAAGACCGACGACCCCACCAGCCACCCCACGCCACTCGTCGGAATTATATCAGGCAATGAGCTCTCCTCTCCGTTGAAATAAACCCTAGTCAAGAACGTTTGCCCTACCGACCCCAAGGCCCATCGAGGTCACGTTGAACGAGTACGCAGCCTCAAAGCCCGGGCTCCCTGGTTGAGCTCAACCACCGTGAACTAGCATCTCTCGTGCAACACACTTGCATTGTTCTATTTCCTAATAACAGCAATGTGAAAGAAAAACTATATTTAAATTTGATGTCAAATGATTTCACCAGATTCTATCTCCTTTCGGGTTTGTTTGGTGCAATATGCTTTAGGTTTTTGTTCTTTTTCATCATGTATTAGGAACTGGAAACATGTGGAGGGATCAATGTTCTTTGTTGTGGAATCTAATTAGGAAATGTTTGCTCTAAAAAATTTGGAAATACTTTCCAAGACATTTTTACGAGCTTCAAAGAACAAAAATCTTAGAAGAAAAAACTACTCAAGTCTTACAACTTTATTTTCAAAACTACCCATCTGGGCATTTAGTCAAATGTATTCAACTCTCACCATCAAGCAAACCTCTCAAAAACTCCAGAAGCAATTGATCTCAATTTTAGCAGTTCAAAATAAATTAGAGTTAAAGGTCAAACAGCAACTTGCACAAAGGTTTAGTTACACCCAATTGTTCATAGAATCATTCAAAACCCAGAAATTTAAGACCTCTTATCATTCTAAACTAATCTAGTGCATTGATCTCTCCAAATTCACGAATCCTCAATAATCTGACCGTAAGATAACAAAAACACATAACATACACTCCCAAGAGTCAAAATCATGAACAAGAAGCTCACCTTGCGTCCTAGGTCTAGGAAAAATCCACCTATCATTGACCAGAGAGATATTCGCCGGCATAGGCACATCCAGCAGGACCACCCCAATCTGCGTACCCACCAGCTCAACCCGACCTCACATCTGGGTCAAATCCCCCGCCGTCTCGATACCCGTTTCCAGATATTCGTCGTGTTGAAACCTGACGAAAACCCGCCAGGAACTCGTGGGTGTCGTTGTTGAGCACGGTGAAGGAGGACTGGAACACAGTAGGGCTGTCGGGAAGGATCCAAGGGCCGAATCGGCAGGAAGATCCTTCCGCCTTCGTATGAATAAGAAAGGAATACTCCGACGCAGCGTCGGAGGCCGGCGGCGGAGCTGCGAGTGTGGGAGGGGTTTGGGATTGGGCCCGGCAGAGGGTTAAGTGGAAGGAGATGTTGATTTTGATTTTTGGGAGATTAATTGGTAAATTAAATGTTAAAGCTGTGATGATATATTTTGTGTGTTTGAAAGATTGTTATATAAATAATATAAATGTAAGGTCTCTAAAATAATTATCATTTTATAAGTTATTTTAATTTTTAATGACACAAGGGTATTATACGTTTTTTGGGGTATGAGGTTAGTACGAGGTTGGTTCGAGGCAAAAAGAATTTTGATCACCTCGTACCAATCTTGTACCTTGAATCTAATGTTGAGTAATGAGTCAATCTAATGGTGATATAAGGAGGCACCTGATGTTAGGTAGGTACGAGGGGTACCTGACCATAGACGGTCCCAAGTGTGTTTCTATGCCAAGTTTTGTATTATTCTTTTAGTGAAGTATTTATTTTTACCCCACCAATTGAAAAGATGTTTTTTCATCCTACATTGATCGATTGTATGAAAATTACAATATTATATCACCATTGTGTAATTATTGTACAATCATGTGATGTAATATATGATATTGTTTATATTGCGCACGCATATATTGTTGTTATTGGACAATCATCATGATTGTAAAAACCTGACCGATCGGTTCAACAAAATAGTCATTTGTCGAAAACCATGTGAACCGGTCAGAAATCGGTTAAGCTGGTGAACCGGTGTCTGTTCTGACGACTCAACTATTCGTCAATTTGATTTTTTTTCTTTCACCAATAATCTAAAAATTGAAAAAAAGAGAGCATTGATAATAATGTATTACAAAAGGCTGGTCCATCACTCAAAAATAATTCAATGGAATATTATTTCTCCCCGTGTATTCCATCTCATTGTGGAGCCCTATTTGAGTAGAGTACCACACACAAAACATTAATCTTCTTACCATTATTGATCAAGAAAACAACAACCTCACTTGAACGGAGCACAAGAGTACCCACTGCACAACCCAGTGGTGCTGCTGTACGGGAACAACGAAATGGGCCGGGCCGTCGGCAGCTCGGTCACGGGCCTCTCAAAATTCAAGTACTCCACCACCTCTTTCATAGTGGGCCTCCCCTTGTTATCGTTCAACGTGCACATCAGCCCAACTTCCACGGCCCGTATCGCCTGATCCGGATTCACAACCGGGCCCATCCTCCGGTCCACCAGCCTCCCCTTCTCGTCCGACTCGTGCATGGCCCACGCGAGATCCAACAAGTCTCGCTCGCCAGGCCCAGAACCCATCCTCCCCCGGCCCGAAACCACCTCCAACACCAACACCCCAAACTCGAAAATATCCACCTTTTGGCTCACGAGCGACTCGAACCGAGTCGACTCGACCATCGACAGCACGAACCCGAAATCCCCCAATAGGGCCCGGAAGCTTACGTCGAGAAAAACGCTACTCGTTTTCACGTTCTTGTGAGCCAAATCCTTGGAGTGAACGTAGCTCAACGACTCGGCCACGTCCTTAACCACCTTAAACCGTCTCGTCCAAGGCAAAACCCCGAACCCGAAGAGCCACTTGTCGAGGCTTCCGTTAGGGACAAAATCGTAAACCACGATCATCTCCCCACGGTCGAAGCACCACCCTCGGATCGAAACTATATTCGGGTGCCGGATTCTCCCGAGCGCCTTCACTTCCTTAATCATCCTCCGCCTCATGTCCGAGTCACGGGCCCCCGAAAACTGGCCGTGAAAACGCTTCACGGCAACTGTACTCCCATTTACCAAACTACCCTTATACGTCACGCTCCTCGAGTCACTCCCCAATATCTGCAGCTCCGTGAAGGCCCGCGTGGCGGAAGAAATCAGGGAGAGGCTGAATTTCCGGGCCCTCGTCGGCGGGCCGGGCCACTTCTTCTCCTCCTTTGGAGAGCCCGTGATCGAGTCGGGTTCGGGCCTCCTCTTCGGCTTACGGTTGAAGTACAGGTTGATCATGACTATGAGCACAAGCACAACCACAGCCACGAAAATGTAGAAACTGCTCGGAGTCTTGCTCGAGACGTGGTCGAAGTTTTTATCCACTGTGATCTTACCCGCGCAGCTTTCACCAGACGGGACCCGCAGAAAAGCCCGACTAGCGGAAGTGAAATTCCACGAGCACACGCTGTGGACCTCCGTGTGGTTGCCGCCAGTCGAGCCGGAGAACCCGACGAACATGTATTCGTTAAGATAAGGCGAGAGATCGAGATTACCCGAATAAGCGGGTCGACTCGGGAGTTTCGTCGTCTCGTCCCGCCCGAGATAAATTTCCAAGAATTTACTGTTCCCATCGTAATTTATCCAGGCCCGGTGAACCGAGCCATCGTTTAGACGAACCCCAAAATCCGAGGCATTGATGGAAATAGTTGAGACTATGCTGCCGAGATTAAGGCCCACGTGATTATCGTTTGGGTCCCCAAACTCGGGGTTTTTGCGAGTATCGAACTCGACGGCGACCACTTTGTATTCGTCCTCACACGCGTCGTTAAGCATGGCGAGCCACGGGCCGGGCCTGCCGACCGTGAGCTCGTCGGGCACGATGACGAAGCTCAGCCCGCCCGAGATGGGGCCGGGTCGGGCGGACGGGTTGTGGATCCGGAAAGAGAAGGTGGTTGAGAATGAGGCAGGGGAACGGGTTTTGGGGTCGAGTAGACGGATAGGGGAAGAGTAGATAGCTCGGCCGGCCGTGTTTTGGAGGTTGTTTTCGGGGATTTGGATGCAGCCCGTTTGAGGAGAGACGGCGGCACTGCCGAGGAGTGTGAGGTCTTGGATGGTTTGGGCTTCCGGGCTGAAATTGGGGAAGGAGAGATGTTTCGTGATGTTGATTTCGGGCCGGGCAGATGATGATGATGATGATGATTTGGTTGTTTGGGGGACTGTGAGGATTGTGAGTATGAAGAGAGTGGTGGATAATGAGAAGATGATGATGATACTGTGGAAGAACATGACTGGACTATGAGATATAGGGGAAAACAGAGAGTAAGTATGATTTATAGCATCATTTCTTTCTTGATTCTCGGTCGGGAAGTAGAATAATGTTGTAAGGATTCTGCACAATCGTTTGGAAAATCAAACAAAAGAAGTTCGATTTTATTTATTTATTTATTGATTTTGAAGTTTTAGAGACATAAGTAGATAATAATTGAGAGGAAACAACAAGAAACAGAGAATGTGTTTGTGCGCCAAAATTAGACAGCGATTCATGAGAATGACACCTTGGCTGCTTATGCAGTCGTGCTGGAGTTGCCGACTGTTGCCAAAATGGACACCGAAAGTTATTGGATAAGAAAATTCACCGTATGTTCAGATTAATAGGTGAAATTCATCTTAAGTTCATATCAAACATTGGATAAGAAAATTCAAATTTAATCTAATGGTGATTGTTTTACATATGAATGTTATTATAACCCTAATGGGTGCATTCAGTAATGCACAATCCAAATTCAGGAAGCTCAAATGTAAATTATATAACAATTTAGTCGGCCTCTTAATAATGTTGTCCCCCAAATACTGCAAAAGGCCACACCCACAAAGATTCCCTCACAAAACAAAAATTGTTGCACAAATCAAACGAAAAGAAGGTTCGATCGCAGTAAGACCAGCAAGAATGTCCAAATATCTGATTATCTGAAAATCCAAAAAAATTCTCGCAACACAACTGGAAAAAAAAAAAAGGAAAATAAATAAAAAAGGGCGTAACAATGGTGAACCCTACAACATTATAACCAAGCCAACTCATTCTTCATCCGCAATGGTTCCTTTCTCACTGACGTAGATACCATCAAGGAACTTCCTAATATCTTTTTTCTTCACATGGCATTTCTGCACAAATAAACCGATAACATCCCAGTCTCAGTGTAATTACAGGCCACAATATATTGGATTCGTGTTTTTTTTTTTTTTTTCNTCATAAATAGAGATGAAAAAGTAATTGCTGAAAAACGATGTAATTGCTCGAGGACATAATGTGTAAGTGAATACAATCAGTCTAGGTGAGGAATGTGCGTTAATGATTGGTATTCGATGGTTAATTCGACTTTATAGGAGCAAAAAACTGAAAAATGTAACTACGCAATTGCCCATAACATTCATGTGCAAGATGATATCAGTGTCACATTAAAATAAAGATCTCAACAATTACCTGATTTATCAAGGCAGCAGACCTAGAAACAAGCTCAATGTCGTTACCATCCAAAACTAATTCATCTTTCACCTTCTCGGATCTCACAACCGAGACCCCTTCAAGCATTTCCACCTTCCTCACCTGGTATAATATTTGTTTGGGTTTCAATAACAAAAGAATAAAAGATTAACAATCGATCAACAACCACAAAAATAGCCAAACTTAACTATGCTTTTAATTCATTTCTTTCAGACAGTTGAGAATCCAATTCGGAAAATGAAAGCATTTACAAAAGCTAATAGGTCAAGTTGGTCATACAGTCACGACTAGTCTTCAACTAAACAGATAGATAAATAAGCTACTATTAATTTGTTATCCAACAACAAACATACTCAGCTCGGCTAAACAACATAAATTACACGCATTTGAAACAAATTCAAAAATAGTTCTAATATAATCAAATCTATGGTAGACAGAAATTGCTACTGCACAATAGACATTTTACAGGCAAATTTGAGCACAAAATATGATAAGCAGTGAAAATGTAACACAGCAAAGTATTACCAATTTCAATTGAACATCCCAAAACTAACGCGAATACCTACCTACCACACAAAATCAGTAAAGTCTTCTACAGCTTATTCAAATGCATAAAAAATAAAGAAATGCCATAAATTCCTCATACCTTCTTCTCCCCGAGGAAGTTACGGATCTCGATCGACTTTCCTCCACCGGCGATGGAGGCGTTGATCGGAAAGTGAGCGTACACGAAACGCATCTTGTAACGGTAACCCTTCGTGACGCCATTGATCAGGTTACTGACGTGGCTGAGCGCCGTGCGGATGGCGGCGGTTGTTTTCCGGCTGCTAAACCAGGCGTCCACCTTCAGCTTCTTCTTTCCTGTGGCCTCGTCGGTGATGAGCTGGAAATCGAGGTTCAGGTGCTTGAAGTTACGCGTGAGCTTGCCCCTGGGGCCCTCGACCTCGATCATCTTAGCCTTCACCTTGATCTTCACGCCTTCGGGAATATCCATGGTGTCGGATGAGAGAATCGCCTTCATTTGTATCGCTGGATTTGCTTTAGCTCCGGTTGGCGTAGTGTGTGTGTGTGAGAGAGAGAGAGAGTGAGAAGGGTTATGGCTGCCACTGAGAAAGCAATTCTAATGAGAGTGAAGACGGAACGAAGCCCTAGTTTAATCTTGGGCTTCTTAGCATTTGGGCATATTTTATTGGGTTAGCTTTGCTCTTATTGGGTTAGCTTCTTTTTACAAAGCCCAGTAAATACATAATACTAATTGGATTTTGCAAAAATTCTAATGCTTGGGCTTTAAGATTTGGGCTGGTTATATTATTATTTGTTGGAGTCCAAAAGATTTGACACCGACCTGATTGTACCAAATATATTGTTTCACTACATACACTTGCAACCTCTGTATGCATGCAAGTAATATAATTCAAAATCATTAGTTAGTTTATAAATATTGTATTTTATACTATTTAATTGCTTTCAATGACATTTTAACATGCTAGTAATGACTAATATACCTTTTAAGTTAAAAGGAAAAATGAGTTATATATATAGACTACCATCCATACATTTATCTAACCTAGAGGAAGGGGGAAATTATTGATCTATACTTATATAAAGAGTCATTCCATTTACTAGAATTAGTAGGAAGAAAAGTCAAAGGTAATTAATGCATTCTATTTTCATCAATTAATTTTTATTTAATTATTTTTTCCTATATAGATATTAATTTACGTAAATCAATACATCTAATATTTATAGTTTGTGTAGATTTAAAGTTCATTCCTATCTTTGTACAAAAAATCTTATCTAATTGTATGAAAAATCTTCTGATTTGTTTCTCTACATATAATGTGATTTCCGTATATCAAAATTTTTTCTTAAAAATCTTAACAGATGTTGAATATTACTAGAATGTAGCAACATGCATGGTAATTAAAATTGTGCATCAAATAATATTTATAAATTAAAATTAGAATTAATATGCAAAACAATTTACATATATTAATATTTTGAAAATGTTATATAAAATTTAAATTGTTCTTAAAATCCTATTCCTAGAATGAATATTACTCCTTCTGATCTTAGGGTTCCATTTAAGTTCCAGCCGCGGCAATTCTCACTTATGGTTTTGTATGCCATGACCATAAGCAAGAGTCAGGGACAGTCTTTATCGCACGTTGGTTTTTTTCTAAAGAAACATGTCTTTAGTCATGACCAATTATATGTTATTGTTTCGCGTATAACTAATAGAAGAGGGTTGAAGATATTAGTTTGTGAGAATGAAGAGTTGTCCAATAATCAAACTCATAATGTTATGTACAAGGAGGTTTTTAATAATAAATTATTGTTTATTTGTCCATTGTCCAATACTATCTTATTGTACAATTTTCCTACGTATTATAAAATTTTTATTTAATATTGCATCTTATAATATAATATTTCCCAAATAAATATATCTCGTGCCTCGCACTGGTCACGTACTATATATATCCCGTACATTTTTCTTTATTCATGTATATAAGAATTATAAGTCTGGATAAATAGCCTTAAACTTGTATAGAGCACGGGCTCTACACTAGTTCCAGATTAAAAATTACTGGCATAAAATGTTTGTAATATTAGTTTTGTAAGACGTAACTTGCAGTAATATTCATTTTAAATTTGTCAAATAAGACGCACCGTCACACTTTTTGCATAATATAAAATTGATTTTTTTTATCTGCAGTAAAGATAGAAAATAAATACATTTTAATATATTAACAAAAGACCCAACATCTTAATTCTGTAGCGTTTGCGTGTCATAGTAATATCAAAAATAACATCATAAGACATTATATGCGCTATAATGAATTTATATATGAAACTAGGGGTGTTCACGGTCCGGATTGGTCCGGTTTTAGCCCAAAACATGACCAAACAGGACCTAACGGTTAATTTTTTTTCTTGTCCATAACCGGACCGGTTTTATTTTTTAACCGACCACAATCCGGACCGCATTGGACGGTCCGATTTGGCGGTTAACCGGTTAAATCCAAAACTTGTTTTGGGCTTTCAATTTTTATTTTTTTAATTTTAGGCTTAATTTTTGTTTTTCAATTTTGGGTCCTAAAGAGATTATTTGGGCTTAAAAATTAAGAAAAACAACAATAATGAAATAAAAAGTACACAATTCGTCTCATAAGCATAAAAATGCACATTTCCTCCCATAAACATAAAAATACAAAAATGATGAGGATTAATTATGCAAACTGAACTCAAGCAAACATTCATTTTTCAGTCAGTTTATACACCCGAAATAATGAGAGCAAAGCATTCATAGTGAATGTCTTGTATTTGTCGGCCATATTGAATGACTGAATGTATATATATATTTGTTATAGTTTTTTAATATTTACCGGTCCGGTCCGGTTAAACCGCCGGTTTGCCGCAGGTAATCCGTTAACCGGACCGGTTATTCCGGATTTTTTAAAGCTTTTTTAACTGACCATTTATTCGATCCGCGGTCCGAATTGACGGTTTTTTTCGGTTAAAACCGGACCGTGAACACCCTATATGAAACCATACCTTATAATTAAAAATATATCAACGTTAACACTGTATATGAACATGCGTAAGCTTAAATGTAAAGGATGACAAAGACAGATCAACAGATAAAGGCGTAAGCACTGATTTAATCTTCACATGACAGCTTATTCTTAAAATAAAATAATAAACAAAAAAAGATTCGAATTTATTCTCACTTTGAATAGTTGTCCCAATCCCGGTCTTTAAAGCTATTAATTATAATTGACTT